TTTTTGTTTTATTCACTATATATATATATTTGTCCCTTAAACATTTGACTTCAGAACTCATTTCACAAATATCTCCTGGGAGAGAATTGGAGAAGGAAAATAGATGAGAAGTTCTTCAAGGAAGAAATTGGGGAAAATTAAGAAGGCTTATAGAGATTCTAACCTAAGGTATGTTTAACCCATTCTATTGGACGCCTCTCTTTGAATTGAGTAGGAATTCCTCTATATTATATAAGTAGGGTGGATAATATAGGTTATGTATGTGTTAAGTGATTACTTGAGTTGTTGTCTCTTGTGTTGAATTGATTTGGAATTGTATTGAATTATCTAGTGATAAAGTACATCTTAATTCTTCAATTAACAAGCTTGAACTCATCTCTATGAATAAAGGGTTACATATGTGTGTGTGTGTGTGTGGAAGATGGAAATATTATGGAATTGAGTATGTTTATGAGTTCTAAAATTAATGATCCATATTTAGATTGTCATATGTTGTACATCCTAATTACATGAGTTTTGAACCATGGTTTAGCAATTAATGAGTCTATTTTGAGCCTTGTAAATGCTCACCAAAATTGGAATTTTGCTTGAATTTCGGACTGCTCACACAGGGAAAATCGCCGCACGTGCAGGGGTCATGGTCGCAAGTGCGGGAGCACTACCGTACTTGCCGGAGTCATAGCCGCACGTGCGGGAAATGGAGAATTTTTAGGTTTTGGCTACTGCTAAAAAGGCACGTGCGGGGCTTCCCAGCCGCACGTGCTGGACCAACTGCTGCACGTGTAGGGCTCATAGCCGCACGTGCGGTCCATGCTGGAAAAAATGATCTGCTTCGTTTTACATGCTCGACCCTCTGATATTTTTGAAATCTGTATTTAATGCCTTCTGATGTTTGTAAAATTCATCCGAAGCAAAGTGAGTCAGGAAATGGCTCAACAAAGAAAAAAGAACTAATTTACGAGTTATGTATGTGTGTAGGACACACTCCGGGAGGGACTAGCACTACGCCACAACACTATGAGTAGTAGTACTGTAGTAGTACGCTTTATTTATCGCTAATAATTACCATTAGCACTCTGTTAGTCGCAAATCAACTATGTTAACTCATCTGAACGATTGAAAGAATGTATGTACTTTCGTATAATTCTGAAACTCTGTATGACTCTGAAATTAGTCTGCTCTAATGATATCTGGGCTTATGGCCAATCTGTGGAATCTGTTAGGCCTATAGCCAATCTGTGGATTCTATTAGGCCTATGGCCAATCTGTAAAATTTGTCCGGCCTAAGGCCGTTCTGTATATCTCTGGGTTTAAAGCCACTCTGTTTAAAGAATAGGCCCAATGCCGTTCTGGAAATAGTTACAGAATTAGATTAACCATATTCCATCTGAATTTATATACGCATTGATATGCATTATAATTCAAATTGACCATTGAATTGTTTAAGCACTATTATTCACTGAGCCTGGCTCACTCTGTATTTTGTCTGTTTCTGTAGGTAGTCAACCTGGAGGTCAGTCTTAACCTTGATGCTCGTTCCTCTTTTGTCAACTGCAGTGTGTCCAGGCACTTAGACGAAGCCGTTCATTTTGTGGGGTTTTGCCAAGCTTTTGGCTTTGTACTCTAATTGTCTGTCTTAGGCTAATGTGTATAACCCCTTCCTTACTAATGCTTTTGTTATACGCCCAATTATGAGGCCGGGTCTGTATACGTGTATGTCTATAACTGGTGCTCAAGTGTATGGTTATTGTATATTATCTACCCGATGCGATGTTTGTGATCCCGGCATGTTAGTGGTAGCTCAATGGATATTATTTTATGTTCTTAAATGCTTTCGTTCAGGCCCCTATAGTATACATGTCGAAATTGATGTCCATTTTTGAAATGGTCATGCCCAAACTTTTAGGGGCGAGGTTTGGGGTCGTGACAGCAAATATGGGAGGTTATATTTGATTTTCCTTTAAAAGAGCCATGATTGTTGCATTATCATTTTGGCTAGAAATTTGGGGTGTTACAGAGACCACGAGACAAGGTTTTTGTGAATGTCTGGCACAAATAGGACGTCGTTCAGAGTTATCTTTTTTTCTAAAGTCATCTTCAGGACTACCTTACTCTTCTCCTCAACAATTGAAGTTGAAGAATTTCCCATGAACAGGCTCAAAAGTTATGAACATCTTCTTCTCCACAAAGATATGACGAGTGGCCCAGTGTCTACCTACCATTCCTTCGAACACCTCAGAGATAATAGCTAAAAGACGCATATAATCTACATCTTGAGAAAGATCATCTATTTCAGCCATGTGAGCTCAACTTTTGTTTTGTGGAGGATTCTTCTTGTATGACTTATTTTTTTTGTGGTAGTCAACAACCCTATGCCTATCACTACCATAGTTGTAGCACTTTCCATTGAACTTATAAGTAGGTTCCTGCAGCTTGTAAACCGGCCTCTTGGAGACACCACATCTAGGCCCCAACTTCGAGCCTGTGTTCACTGGTTGCTTATTCTTGACCTCCGCAGACTAACCATGTTCAATCACATTTGCTTTAATAGTGGGGGTAAGCCTATCTTTCTTCTTGTTATCCTTCTCAATACGGAGCCTAACAACGAGCTCTTCGACTGTCATCTCTTTTCGCTTGTGCTTTAAGTAGTTATTGAAGTCTTTCCAGCCAGAAAATAGTTTCTCAATCAAAGCAACTGCTTGGAATGATTCATTCAACAACATTCCATTTGGACGAATCTCGTGTACAATCACTTGAAAATCTTGGATCTGGCTAATGGCAGTTTTAGAGTCCACCATGTTGAAATCCAAAAACCGGCCAACGATAAATTTCTTTGCCCCATCATATTCGGTTTTGTATTTTTTGTCAAATGCATCCCATAACTTATTTGTTGAATTCTTAGCATAAAACATGTTGAATAGTGTATCTGCTAAGCCGTTCAACACATAATTTCGACAAAGGAAATCTGACTACTTACAAGTATTTAGAATCATGAGCTTTTGCTTATCTTGCTCATTCTCCTCCATAACTGGTGGATCCTCATTTAAAAACCTCACAAGACTAAGAGTTGTAAAGTAAAACAGTATCTTTTATTGCCACCTCTTGAAATTCACGTCGATAAATTTCTCCCGGTGCTCATGAAGATTAAGCGGTCCCCCAAGAATAGTAGGATTTCCAATAAGATTAACCACAGGGGTCACGACAAGGGTTGTCATGGGATTCAGATCCTCACATTCACCGCTCCAATGTTAGTTGTAGTTGTCATTTCTGAAAAATACAACATAATTTCACTATTATGTTTTTTCCCATAAACAAACTTAATATTAAAAAATCCTAAAGTCTGAAATTTAATTTAAAACTAATCTCACAATTAACTTCAAAATCAAACAAAGTCAAGAAAGTTTTCAAGAAGACTGGAGGCGTCACAACAGTCCCACTTAAAACCTAATTAACCTTAGACAAAACTCTCAAGGGTTTGTTGACTTCTTGTCTATGAGAAACAAATTTAAAATTAAGTTTATAAGGAATAAACTAGGTTAAAAAACCAACTCCCAAAAACTTCTAAGCAATTTAAAAATTGTTACCCTATTACAAGTAATAAAAATTGCTACCAAAAAAATTACAAACAAATAAACTTGCTACTAAAAATTATAAGCAAATAAAATTGATTTGATGAAACAGAACACAACCAATCCAACCAAGGATTCTAAAGTTAAAAAAAAAAAAAAATTCATTTCACGCTTAGGTATTTCTGTTCAACAAAAAGATATAGTAGTCCAATTAAGTTTTACAGTCCCAATGAACATTCATTTTGTTTTGATCTTAATTTTCCATTCCCTTTCGCATATGTATATCTGTAAAGAAAGTCAGCAGAAATTTGTTAATGGTGTGTATTGAGTGGATTAGTAGTGTATGAATAGAATTTCTCCTTAATAGTAGGCTGCAAATGAATAAAGTCGTTCGTGAACAAACTCGAACTTGATTCGGTAAGGACTAGTTTGAGCACGTTCATTAAGTGTTCGAATTTGTTAAAATATTAATAAACAAGCTTAAACATATTAAAACTCGATTTGTTAACTGACTCATTTAACATTTATTATTTATATATTAAGTAATATAAAAATATGCATAAAAAATAAAATAAATATATTATTTATATATTTAAAAAATGGAAATATAAATAATAGCTAACTATATATAACATTTATATAATAGTAGTGGTACATATTATTATTACTAACTTTTTTTTAGTATATTTATAAATACTATATATATAATCATAAAATAAAAAATTTAATTATACCTTTAATCTTATACACAAATATAAATTTATAATTTTTTTTTAATTTGTTGAAACTCATGAACAGTTTCAAATTCAAGTCAAACCTAAATCAATTCACCTCAAGTTTGATTTGTTAAATTTTTTAGTATGTTAAAATTCAAGTTTGAACCTACTAAAACCTTAATAAACATGTAGAACGTAATAAAGTGAGTGTTTGAGAAATTGCTATTTTAGTAAGTTATTTTAGGTTTTTGTTATTTTAGTAAATTAAAATTTTTTGTATTTGAAAAGATAATTGAATGTTTTTTGTAATTTGATGTGATATTTATGAGAGAAAAAATAATGATTATGAATTTGATATTTTTTTTATTAATTATTTTATCATATTTTATTTTGTTTTGTAAATTTTAACCAAAAAATAGTCTAAACTCAAGTTGCCAAACACCCCTCGGCCGGCGAGCAAGGATTCTCTTATTGCATTCTTTTCTTCACTTCCTTCTTCTAATGGTTAAGATTCATTCTAAAAAAAATTTAGTAGCTCAGATTATTTTATTAAAAATTATTTTAGAATGATTTATACCGTTAAATTCTCTTAAATGAATATTGACTATTGCATGGAGGAAGCGATGTAGGAAAGATAAGGAGAGGAGCAAATTGCTTAATAGACAAAAAGATGGTAATTTGAATGAAATACGAGGGCATTTAAGTTCCCAAATAACCTGCCCTAATTGCATACCCCCACTCACTAGTATTATGGCATCTCTTTCTTCCCAACACTGACGCACATTGCAGACTGCTCTCTCTAACGAAGCAAAGATGGGCGACCTCGATCGGAACGCACCAAAACTTCCGATAGCCGGCAAGCGAAACATCCTCATCACCAGCGCCTTGCCTTATGTCAACAACGTTCCTCATCTCGGCAACATCATCGGCTGTAATACCCTTCTCTCTCTCTCTCTCTCGCTCTCTCTTTCTATATTGGGTTTGAAAATGATTTTGATTATTTTGTTGTTGATAATTGTATTGTATTGGTAGGTGTTTTGAGTGCTGATGTGTTCGCCCGGTACTGCCGGCTTCGCGGTTACAATGCCATATACATGTGTGGGACTGATGAGTATGGGACTGCAACTGAGACCAAGGCTTTGGAAGAGAATTGCACCCCTAAAGAAATTTGTGACAAGTTAGTAATTCTATTTCACTTAAGTTTTTTTTTTTTTTTTTTTGGTTTTTTTTGGCCTAATATGTGAAATGAAATTCGGAAATGAAAAAATGTTACAGCCACACCAACCTGAGTGTTGGCTTTGTATAATAGTATATAAGTATAGATATAGATAGTATGTATATATATAAGATATCTAATATTTTATCCATGATCTAGAGACTGTTTTGTATTATTTAAAAATATTTGAATGCGTTTGGTTTCAGTTTTTTGAATTCAGTTCTTTTGTTGTTGTTGTTGTTTTTTTTTAATTTTATATTTAGTGAATATTTTTAAAATTTTAAGTAATTTTTTAGATGCACCTTAGATGTATTTAAAATAGTAAAATATTTGTGAAAAAATATTTTAAAAAATTAATAAATATACAAAAATATGAAAATATTCTGAATTTTCGTATTTTTTTTGTTTGTTTTGGTATTTAGTGTATTTTTTAAATATTTTTTTTCACAAATATTATATTTTTTAAGTGTATTTATGTTAGGTTGAAAATTTTAAAAAATACTTAAAATATTAAAAAAATTCATTGAAAACATTAAAATATGAAAAATAAAAAAGTAGAATTTTCTGAAAACTGTTTTCTAAAAACTGGAACCAAACAATTTATTTTCTAGATAGAAAGCGGAGAAAATGGAAATGGCTCAGAGAATTCGTTTGGCAGAATGTTTTGTTCTTAAAACACAACACGGTCAAATGAGATCATGTAAAGATTTATATGTGAATCCAACCTCATTAAGCAAAATTTGGCTATCTAAATGCTATTCAAAATTTAGGGACTGTTTGGTATTATTGTAAGTTAAATTTTTGTTCTTGGAGTGGAAAAATAAAAATGGCATAGAGAACCCATTTGGCAAAATATGTTTGGGGAGTTTTTAATTTTTTCTCAAAGGATTTCATCATCTCAAGACTTGTTGAGGAGACTATTGAAAGTATGTATCTGGTGTGGTCAGGTTGCTTGATTCATTCTGTTGGCTTCAATTAGTAAAAATGTTTCATTGGAATTAATTGCATGACAACAAGAAAACTTATGGAATATTGTCAATTTGATTCCAATAAAATAAAGATGGGGAATGCTAACATTTTCTATAGCAAGGCGGCAATAGCAAGGTCCCCACTTTTTCCATAGATTAAATTTAAAACCCATTAGATAATAAGATTCCATGCCCATAACAGAGTTATTTTAGCCTTTTTAGTGCTGTCTTCTCCATCCTCTTTCCTCTTCGATTATTAGGGTGTTGAGGAGGAGCCACCAATTCCGCACTTCATTGCCAAGCATCTATCAGCCCTCATACTACATCTTCATCTTGACCCAATGCCTGCCTTCATCGTTGTCCTTGTTCTTGATTTTTGATTTGTTGTTGTTCTCCAAAATAAGAATTAGAGCACCATATCTAGGGGCTACATCAATTACTGTCACCTAGTCATCACTGAAAACCTGTCCATATTTTTTTCCCCTCACATGTAAGTTGAAAGGCAGCCAAGAAAAGCATCATTAATATCAAACTTGGCTGGCCTACATACATGGCTCCAGTGTGCTGATAATTTAAATTTTGAAGCATTTTTGGCGAAACATAGTATTATTTCATATGAAGCATGGGCACATGCATGGGCATGGGGACGGACACGGACACAAACGTGATATATGTCAATTTCAAATAAATCGAGACACATACATGCTGAAGATACGGCAAAAAAATATTTGTATATATTTTTATTTGCTATATATATATAAATATTACATTTATAAGCAACCAAAATTAATGAAAACTGACACTAATTTAACACTAAAAGCACACTTAATTTAAATCAGTCAGATATTGGATTTGTGTTGTGTTGGAGCTCTAGGAATTGTTAGAAGCCAGCCAGACTGCCTTTCAACTTCACAACTGTGGTTAGATTTATGCGGTGTTGTCAATGGTTTTAATTTTAGTTTTGTATTTTTTTTAAAAAATTCAACCTTTATGTTTTCTAATATAATAATATGACCCCCAAAATTGGTTGTGAAAAATTTAAATAAGATCTCACCGTGTCCTGAAGTGTGTTCCCGCATGTCTCTGCTGTGTCTTTGCGTGTTCTTGCCATATCCAGTGAAAAAGAATTATTAAAAAAATTGACATACTGTGACACTGCCGCATGGTGTGTCGAACACGTGTCCCTGCATGGCGCGTCTGTCCTACGTCTGGGACACTTTTTGTTCACTAAGTGTATGAGATGGCTAATGGCACCCTGCTACATAGGATAGGACGTTACAATCCTGCTTTAAGATATATAGCATTCTATTATAATATATCTTTCCTCACCTCATCTTTCTTACATTTGTAGATACCATGCAATTCATAAGGAGGTCTATAAATGGTTTAACATAAGTTTTGATGAATTCGGACGCACATCAAGTCCACAACAGACTGAAGTTTGTCAAGCAATTTTCAAGAAACTGTTGGAGAACAATTGGCTTTCTGAGAACACAATGCAGCAGGTTTGAACTCCTTTGACATTAGCTTTATATTCTCAAACTATAAAGGTGATCTGAACTCCTGCTGGGTGTCCTTGTTTTGTTTTCAAATTGTTCAATTGGTGTACATTAGCTTCTCTTACAACTATATTTCAGCCTATATATTATTTGAAACGTAATTTGAATATCTTTATGATGCAGTTATATTGCGATACATGTAAAAAGTTCTTAGCTGACCGACTTGTAGAGGGCACATGCCCGACACAAGGTTGTAACTATGATTCTGCAAGAGGGGATCAATGTGAACAGTGTGGGAAGCTTTTAAATCCAACAGAATTACAAGATCCCAGATGCAAGGTGAATTAATGTCTTACTTTGTGTAACATTTTGTCTTCCCAATACCTTATTGTAATTGCAGTCCCATGGAGCACTATTAATTCCTACAGTTTCATGCAAATGAGCTCTGATTGAGTCCAGACTCTTAAATCCAAAAAAGTTGTGAGTGGCCTGATATGGATAGACTCCCTTGTGATTCTCAACAAAGTGAATCTGAAGTTTTCTTGAGAAACTGGATGAGAGTGTAACCCTGTTTTACATTTTCTCGTCCACATTTTAAAACCAAATTACATGCTTATCTAGAAAAAAAACTATTGGAACACAGAAACATGAGTATGTGTATAATATGTAATTATTACAATACTGCGTATTAAATGAGGAAACAACCATTTTTTAACGTTCATATTTTTTTCTAAATAATGCGTGAGCTTGCTTTGTAAACAGGTATGTCGAAACACTCCACGCATCCGTGATACCAACCATTTGTTTCTTGAGCTGCCTTTGTTGAAGGATAAGCTAGAAGAGTATATAAATGAGATGTCAGTTACTGGGTCATGGAGTCAGAATGCTATCCAAGCAACGAATGCATGGCTCAAAGAAGGATTAAAACCTCGATGTATTACTCGAGATTTGAAGTGGGGAGTTCCTGTTCCACATGAGAAATTCAAGGATAAGGTTTATTAAGAAATATGCTGTTAGTAATGTTTCACATTTATAGATTGGTGTTGCTTGTATTTGTCAAATAGGGAGCATTTGAATTAGTATCAACTGTTTTCAGATTTTTTAAATTGATCTTCTTTTGTCTGAAAATATGATGGTTAGGTTTTCTATGTCTGGTTTGATGCGCCTATTGGATATGTCTCAATCACATCATGCTACACATCAGAGTGGGAGAAGTGGTGGAAGAATCCTGAGAATGTGGAGTTGTATCAGTTTATGGGCAAGGATAATGTGCCATTCCACACTGTAAGTACATTGTCATTATGTTCCATTTTCAGTTATTTGATATTTACGTATTTCTAGCAAACAGGAAACCTGTGAAGACAGTAAGAAACATGCAACATTTACATTTAGTCATATTTATGCGTTGCTGATCTAGTCATTGTGCTTGGCGCACCACTTAGCAAGATTGCTTTGCAACTTCTTGCCTTGCTGTAAATTCAATTTTGGGGTTTACTTGTTTGGGATGGCTTGCATTTTCATGTAATGAGTTGTTTGAATGTTAAAAATAAAAACAAAACCCAACCAACACTGAAAAATAAATAAAGAACATTGGAATTTAATATAGGGGACTCTTGAGAATGATGTTCTTTGTTGCAAAAGGATCTCTTCTACTAAAAAAATTAAGAAAGGGGAACAAATAATCCTTCCTAATATTGCTATAGGTAGGGTTGGGCATTGGGTTGTATTCCTGTCGTGTCATTTTGGGTTCTTTTCAAAATTACATCACTAACCTAACCGTTTATTTTCTCATGTTATCGTGCTGTGTTGCTTTTGGTCTAAGTCCAGTTTGTGTCATGTTAACATGTCATTCCATGAACTTTCACCCTTTGTTAAAAATACCAAGTGTATGGTGAACTTATTTATTTATTTTTCTAGAATTTAAATTTCATGAAACAAAGCTTGTTTGTTTTGGATTTTCAGGATTCATTTTTTAGAAAATTAAATTTTTTTGTTTTTCATATTTTTTTGTTTTCACTGAATTTTTTTAATATTTTAAGCATTTTTTAAAAAGTTTTAGATACACCTAACATAAATACACTTAAAAAGTATAATATTAGTGAAAAAAATCTTTAGAAAATTCACTAAATATCAAAAATACAAAAAAAATACGAGAATTCAATACATTTTTCGTATTCTTGTTTATTTATTGATTTTTAAAAACATTTTACTTTTTAGATACATCTAAGTAAGGTGCATTTAAAAAAGTAAAAAAATTGCTTTAAATTTTAAAAATATTCATTAAAAACAAAAAAACATGAACAATAAAAAACTCAATTGCCAGAAAATTGAAACCAAACACACTGAATATTTGTTGGATGAAGTTATTTTTAAAAATATTTGATTAAGATCAATTCCATATTCCCTATTTAAAAACATATACCCTATTATTATAATCCTTTGCTAGATTGACTCTAAAATAGTTGACAAAAAACGCATTATCTTAAATGGAAAAAAAACGAAAAATTATATTAGCCTTAAAATCCTATTTTACAAACTTTTATATTAAAAAATGTCATTGCACCCTTTAGTAGAAATAAAATTAAAATGTGTTACTATTTAGTCGTTAAATGGGTTATTTGTGTCAATTTCATGTTATGTAGGTTCAACACTGACTTGGCCCATTTAATATTCGTGTTATCGGGTTATCGGGTTATGTTATATTCGTGTTTGTGTCAAAAAATGGCCAACCCTAACTCTCTAACTACGTGTATGGTTTGAGTCATGTCGAAAATTCCCACCTTTACCTAAAGGTTGTGATATTTGTATAAAAGAAACCATTGCATTCATAATTATAGAAATAAAATACAATATTTGTAAAACTGATTATTAATAATTCTTTGGAGTTATACAATCATCATAAGTACTAATCAATCCCAAAATAATACAATAAGCCAAAATTACTTGTCTAGGGTTTATCTAAACCCGAAGAAAGGAACTTCGTTGCTCACAGAGTAGGGGATAATCACTATCTTCAATGAAAAATCCGTTCTTTGAACTTTGGAAATTTTTTTTTTTTGGCCTCTAGAGTTGCCTTTAATGAATCACGAACCCTTTTTTTGAAGACCTACCCCTCTATTTATTCTTCTATTTGAACTAGATCTATTTTTGGGTCTTAACTCACACAATTGACTTTAATTTTCTCAGCCTTGTGTCTATCTTTGCTTAGGCGGAGCCCGACCTTTGCTCAGGCACCCATAGGTAGTGGATCACCTTCACGAGCTTTTAATTTCTTCATCTCTTGCTGGTTCCTCTCTAGTGGTTACCACCTTTGCTTGAGTTGTGGGTGGCAACGAGGGTTGGTTTTTTTCTTGGAGCTTCATGTCTCTCCTTTCTTTCTTTTGGGGCTCGATCAAATCCAATTAGGTTGCAAAGAGCTCCGTATTAGGAAAATTGATCCACAAAGGCTTAATCAACCTGTAGATATGCAGGAAAGCATTAATTCGTTAAGTAACCCAAGTAAATGGACTAAAAGCATACTCTAGGGGCCCTAAACGTGTAACATTTCAGCACCTATTGTAGAGTTGTATCTGTCGGTGGTTAATACCTCGGCCTACTAATCTTGAGGTTATGGGTTCAAGTATGAGGGCAACCACTTTGTGCCTTTATGCCAAAGGTTGGAGGTGTACCCAACCCAACCCTCCCAAACCCATTAGTGGGTACTAATTGGGTGTTGTTTCTATGCTTGTTGGAGTTGGCCTTGTTAGTGTTTTAAAAATCTCTTGGTGCATTGAGGCACAGACGTCTCCTAGAGCCCAAGTGTGAGGCGCAAGGTGAGGCAAGCGCCTCATCAATACGAGGCACAAGTTGTAGAAGATGAGCAAAATTTAAATATAGGCAAAGTTTCTCACATAACAATTTTTTCTAGAATTCTAAAAATCATAAAAGAACATCCAACATTCCAAAAATCATGAAAGTAATGTTCAACATTTCAAAAAATCTTTAAACATGACATTTAACTCTCTAAAAATCACAAACATAACATCTAACAAAAATCATAAAACATTACATTCACATCCAACAAAAACCAATGTTTCCAGTTTTAAGATAATCCAAATAGTAATAAGTTATATTGAATGCATTGTTGTCCTTGGAACTTAGTAATATGCGTCATCTTCACTAAGAACATATGCCTAAACTTTTTTTTTGATTGCTGGAAAATATGTTTGCACCTTAGCAAATGCTCCTTACCTTGAGCTATTTGAGGCACATAGCTATGTCTCACTGCACCTGGAGCCTAAACGCGCCTTTTAAAACACTGGGCCTTGTGCCTTCACTTAAAGTCTGTTTAGCTGAGACATTGACTTACCTGAGAACCAAAGTAAACTGCACAGCATATGACAGTGCTCCATTTTGTATGATGCCTTACAAGTACAACAAATTGTTTCTTGCATTTTACAGGTGACAAATATTCTATTGACACCAATATTATTTAACTTCGGGTGGTTAGATGTTTTTCATGATGGACAACATTGCCATTTTTTTTTCTGTATGCTGATTAGTTTTACTTTTTGTTTTTTTCTGGTAAAGTATGTTGAAGGGTTGTGGCTTTGTGCTTTTCTAAGAAGGACAAACACTTCTATGAACATGTCGTGTTTGACACCATGTCCAACATCAGCACAACACTTTGGACACTTAAATAGTAAACTCTTAACAATTAATAATCTTGGAAGAGTAAAATATATAAATTAATAAAATACAAATTTTCTATGTGATTTTTTTTGTGACAATTTATCTGTTGTTATAATTTCTTGTATAATAATAGGACATTGATACATTTTTAAGGCAAACAATTATTTTTTTGACAAATTATATGTATTATCTCAAATTTTGGTTGTACAAAAACTTCAAACCCCTATTTTTATTATTAATAAACTAATATGTCCTAAGATTTTTATTTTTATTTTTATTTTTTTTGATAAGTTAACAATTCCGCCGATCCCATTCCTGGGTAAAGGAGGAGGGTTGTGTGTTAGGTAGCCGGCAGTCGACAACCAACATGTAAAAAAATGCTCGGATCCCTTATGAAAATGAAATCCTACTTTGAATCGATTAAATGCTAGGTCATTCCCTTGAAATGACATGTTGTGCCTGCTTTTGGGTGTTTCGAAAAGTAAGCAAGGGGCACCATATCGACACTTGAGTGCGGTGAAAAATGGGCAAAGGTTTCCGCTTTTTTTTTGGATGAGCGCAGATAAAGAAGCTAGTTCAAAACTATAGGTTTAGGGCAGCCACATGGAATGTAGAAACTTTAAATGGTAAGACTATGGAATTGGTAGACATTATGATTAGGATATCAAACTAAGAGAGATTTTTGGGACCAAATGGATGAGATATTGCAAGGAAATACCTGTAGGAGAGAATCTAGTTATAGGTTGAGATTTCAACAGCCATGTAGGAATTGATAAATTAGGTTATGAGAGGGTGCATGGTGCGTATGGTTTTAGTGACACTAGTGAGGCTGGAAAGGGTATTTTAGATTTTGTGATGGCTTCTGACCTGGTGGCGGCCAATACTATGTATAAGAAGAGAGAGGAGCATTTGATAACCTTTAAAAGTGGGTTAATTAGGAGCCAAATATATTACTTTCTAGTAAGAAAAGTAGACTATCTAAAATGCAACGACTGTAAGGTGATTCGTGGAGAAAGCCTAGTGTCTCAACATAGGATTTTGGTACTAGATTTATGTTTTAAAGGGCAATACCAAGTTAGGAAGGATAGTGGGGCATTGTAGGACAAGATGGTGGGACCTAAAAGGGGATAAACTAGAAAGATTTAAGAATATAATGGATATAGAAGATACTTGGGACTTGGAGGATGATGTTAACGCTATGTGGAACTCGATGGCCAATTGTATGAGGAGAATCTCAAAGGAAATCCTTGGAGAGTCGAAAGGAAAGGGACCCAACTCTAAGGAAACTTGGTGGTAGAGGGAGGAGGAGGAGGAGGAGGAGGTTCAAGCGGTAGTAAAAACGAAAAAGTGTGCTTTAAAAAGTAGCAGAAGGATAGAACTAAGGAAAACTTTAAGAGCTATAGATTGGCTAATTAAGAGGTCAAAAAAGTAGTGAGAGAGGCTAAGTTGAAAGCTTATGATGACCTATATACTAGACTAGATAGTAAGGAGAGAGAGAAGAGAATATATAAATTTGTTAAGATAAGAGAGAGAAAAACAAGAGATTTTAATTAGGTTAAGTGCATCAAGAGTGAGGACTTTAAAGTGTTGGTGAAGGATGAAGAGATTAAGGAGAGGTCGAAGAACTATTTTGAGAAGTTGTTAAATGAGAAATATGGAGGAAGGTCAAAATGGGAGGAAGTAGCCAATAATAAGGAAAACCAAGACTACAGATTCTATCACAGAATTAGGAACTATGAAATGGAGCTTGCACTTAAGAAGATGAAATCGAATAAAGTTTTAGGACCCGATGATATCTCCATTGAAGCTTGGAAATGTTTGGATAAAAAGGGATTGCTTGGTTGACTAAGTTATTTAGTAAGATTTTGTTAACTAGGAAAATGGCAGAGGAGTAGAAAAGAGTATTTTAGTGCCAATCTATAAGAATAAAGGGGGTGTCTAGAATTGCAACAACTGTAGAAGAATCAAACTGATGTGTCATGTAATGAAAGTATCGCTATATTGTGCCATGGTTGAAATCACATAATTCTAAGTTAAAAAGAATTTGACTTTTTTAATTAGATATCAAACAAAAACTAAGGCCTGTTTTGAGAAGTTGATATTTCGGGAGGGAAATCAAAAAATCATTACATAAACAGTCTTTTTCTTTTTAATTTTTTCATAAAAAGTTAAAAAAATAACTAAAAAGATCAATTCTCAAAAGTTTATTTTTAAATTTTCATTAAAAATTTTAGAGGCTTTTAGCATATAAGCCCTTGATAGAGTGGAATAGCGAAAATTGATTTATGTAGCTAACCCCACTTGATTGAGACAAAAAGATTAATTTGATTTGATCTGGTTTAGAGGCTTTTAGTGCCTCTTGGCTGCAGCTGCCCAAGAAAAGGGGCTAAAGAAGAGCTAAAATCACCAACACCAATGTATGAATAGACCAGCTGCCCTTCAAAATTTGATAAATACAACTTAAAGCCTAGAGAGCTTGGCCCTAAAAAGAAACATATCAATTTAAGGTTATTCAATAACGTAATTAATAAAAACACGCAAAGGGTAGCTCTTCCAACTCCAATAATTTGAAACAACAATGACCACAAGGGCAATTCTTAAACCTACAATGAATCCCTTTCAATAAAACCTACAATGAATAGCAATTTCGACCCATCAACAACTGAAACACCATTTCAGGATGGAAAAAAACACATGTGATTGTACTACCTAATTTTCATCAAATTATATCAAAAAATTCTATTATGCAAGAGCAAGGACAGAGGGTACAAAGATTCAGTCTCAAAAATCATAGAGATATGAATGTCCTTAATTTGACTATCCAAATGGTGGATGATATAGTTGAGTGGAGAAGAAAGATTCATGTAGCCGACCCTATTTGATGGGACTTACGGTTTGGTTTGGTTTGGTTTGGTTTGGCAAGGCCTTGGGTCTTGGGTCTTGGGGGTGTGCTCCCTCCAAGGTTCAGGGATTGAAACCTTTTAAGTGCTAATAATTTCTCAGGGCCATCGGAATGGGGGAAAACCATTGAATTAACCGTAGTGCACTTGTGGGAAACACCTCGCCGAGGGTCTGTGCACCCCTGGGGTTGAGTCGAGTTTTGATTCGGACACCCAGTGCCGATCAAAAAAAAGAATATATTATTGTTAATGTATTTTTTTCACTCAGAATTTTATAAAAATAATAATAATTATTATTGAGTGATAGAATTATTAATTATATTCCTTGGAAAAAAAAGTCATTTTGTGTGTGCGAAAAGGCTATTAATTAATAAAGGTTATTAAGCTATAGAATATTCATTATAAGAGGGCCAATTATTATCTGGCATGCATGAGGCCTCCTTATATAGGGTGGTGAACAAGCTAAGTTGAGGCCATGTGGCTCAACCTCCTTGGCTAGGCAAAATAAAGGGGACTTCAGGCAACTTCGCAACCTCAATGAGGCCTTGCGGGCGTATCATATGTGGTCAGTTGGTAGGTATGAAATATCCCTATTTGTTGTGTTAGAACGACTTAGGAGTAGGTGTACAACCATCGAGGTATCACATGTCTTGGTCAATGCCCCTCTCTCTCTAAGACTAGTCCAAGTGCGGTCCGGATACCCTTGAACTTCCAATCTACAAATCCTTTGGTGGCCCTAAAAGAGGTACCTAGGCCCTGCTCTTAACCTAAGTTGTGCTAGTAGGAAGCTTCAATCTTAGAGGTCAAGTCACACTCGATGCCGCTCAAGTGAACAAATCTAGCTTGAGATTTGGGTGAAGGAGGTCACTAGCGGCACGCAGGGTGCGCAGGGCCTTGGGAGAGTGAGGTGTGACCTAAGGTGCTTAGGCCTGGGTGCTAGATTGGGCCACGTGTCATCTTGGGATGCAAGCATGGCATGTGTGTGCGCATATGTCTTGCAGTCCATGACACCAAATGGATGTCATGGCGATGCCTTGTGGAAAGATTGGACAAATATACCTACAACCTATAAGATGTTTTGTCCCTGTCCTATTGGGTTCATGATTAGGCTATATTTCAGAGGCTCGAGTTTGGAATCCTCTGACTCACCTAACAAAACCTTTTGGAGAAGGCTTCATGTATGTTGGTGGAGGGTTATGTGTGGATTTCTTCTTTGGAGAAGGCTACAATACCAGCTGGTAGTTGACCATATTCAGCCATGTTTAATGCTGTTTTGTTATTCTAGTGGTATTTTATAAAGGAAAAGAAAAAAAGAAAAAATTAGATTACGTGTTAGGGAATGGTGTGACAACGAAAATACGACCTGTCTCATGCACACAATGCAGTTCTTCATTTTAAAGCTGAACACGACCCTATTTGTGAACCTGGCTTTAAACTGGTCATTTTAGTTTGTGATAATTTGACGCAATTCTAAAATTGTATTGAACACATTATTGCATTCGAATTTAAATATTCAAACTTGAGGTTCCAGATCCGTCACAAACAAAATGGAATTATAGTTTGTAGGTTTGCTAGGTAAGAGCATAGTTGTCAAATTGGGATTCGAATCGTGAATTGAAATGGACTTGTACTAAATCGCGAATCAAATTGCGAATTGTAAAGATTCAGTCACTTATTTTAAATTATATAGAAAAATATATCCACACACATTTAGATATTAAATATATCCAATAAATATGAAATATTTAGACTTAAATCAATGAAAATGTTGTTTTGAATGATGATCACATGGTCTATGTAAAAAGTTAACACGGATTCCAATGTTCACCACTTTACCTTTCCCTTTCCCTTTTTAGATATTGTTTCTTAACAACCATTCTTAATAAAGAAAGTAAACAAAGCCAAACTTTCAATTTCCAAGTAACAATAACTCAACAACAATGTTTTAAAATTTTTACAAGGTTAAGAAACCAAAAACTTGAAACTTAATAAAAAATCTCACTTGATGCCTTAAAAAAATTCCTTTTGTAAATGCAAGCACTTGGATAAAATTGAATATTTGAGAGTAAATTGGGAGGGAGAAAGTCAAAAGATGGCATATAGTAATCCTAATGACCTTAAAAGGTTGTATTGAACCCTTTCCAACAATAAAAAACCAAAAAAGAAAGCCAACCATTGATTTTAGAGAATTGAATTGATTCATGAGTCAACGATTCGGTTCAATGGTCCACCGATTCATAGCTATTTGCGATTCATGTAACCTGTTCATATCGATTACCCACTGAATTGAATCAAATCGTGCGATTCTAATAACAGAGGGCAAGAGTTGGAATACCATAACAAAATTCTGGTCCTACAACAAGAACTTAAAACTCATTATAGTTATGCAAAACATATACAATTTGAACAAGTTCTGAAACACCATAAAATTAAATGAATCCGACATGAAAGCCAAAATATTTCAAAAAGGAGATGAAGACGACCATGGATCAAGAAAGAGGGAAGAGTGGGTTTTAAGATTCATGTTTTTTGTTAGTCATGATGATGCCAAGTATGGCAGGCATTGACTAGTTCTGAGGGTTTCAGTTTCATTCATTGAGTTTTGTTTTCAACAGAAGCCAAGCATGATAATAACGAAAGATGATAATCTATTAATAGCTGAGAAATCAATTAATTCTGAGTTTGAAGTTCACCTAGTTTCTGTAGGAACTGCTGCCCTAAAGGTGCCTATAGTTTTTATGCTGGTTTTAGGATTGTGACTTGACAGGTGTATTTAACTGGGTAACTCTGGTCAAACAGTCACTCCTAGAATGTAACGCATTTGTTTAATTATTTGTGTCAATACTCAATATCACAACTGTTAAATGGGATCAAGTTTTTGATGGTTTGAATATTGAATGTTTTAGCTGTTAATGATTATCTTTTCCAGGTTATGTTTCCATCCACGCTTCTTGGAACTGGTGAAAACTGGACTATGATGAAGACAATTAGTGTTACTGAATATTTGAACTATGAAGCAGGTTAGTTAAATTCAAATTACGGTTTAGGTGCCATCTGATTACTTTGTGGTTGAGTGACAAACAAAATCTCTTATGGTTTGTGTCTTGCACATTTTGATGTTATATTGGGTTTTATGTGCCAGGGAAGTTCTCAAAGAGTAAGGGCATAGGTGTTTTTGGAAATGATGCAAAAGATACAAATATTCCTGTGGAAGTATGGAGATATTACTTGTTGACTAATAGGCCAGAGGTTGTACTCTTGTTAAAATATTATTTGACACTGTTATCTGCTCAAAAAGAAAGAAAAAAGATATCTATTTTTGCCATTGCTAATTCTTATGGATTGCAATAATTAGGTGTCAGACACATTGTTTACGTGGGCAGACTTGCAAGCAAAACTAAACAGCGAGTTGCTAAATAATTTAGGCAATTTCATCAATCGAGTGTTGAGCTTTATTGCTAAGGATCCAGGTAACTGTTTTGGATATGAAGAATTCAGTTTCAGAAAATGCTTACTATTTGATGTGCTTTGATTCTTCATTGTTTCTTAACTGGTTTTAATATTTTTGGTGTTCTTAAATTAACTGCATATACAACAATTTACCAATTTGGGGGACGGGGCATTTTTTAAAAGGAAAATTTCTTTTGGATATGGTTTGGCTTATGAAGCATGATTACTTCTAGAAGGGAGACGTATCCATATCGGATACTGATACTTATGGATACATATCAGATATTAATTTTGAAATATCGAATACTCCAAGTCATGCATCATAATTTTTACAAAATTGGAATTGTAGCATTTCTTGCATAGCAGTTTGTGATGATAAATACAAGAATATTTTCATAATACTTTGTTTACATCTTTGATAGAAAGAACATAGTGAGTTAATCTCCTACTTTTTCATAATTTGTCGAAATGACATATCTTTATTGTATTATTTAGAAAGTAAGGATTACTTTAAATATCATTAATTAAATCAGCAAGTGAACTTGTATACAATATTTTGACATTGAACACTAATGCAAATGGGTAAGACACTAGGAAAACTCGTGGAATGTTATTATAAAATAAACATGTTAGACTTCATATTGGAATGAAATATTTGCAAGGCCTATTGAAAATTTAAGACGTAAAGTAGTTGCCAACTTAAATTAAGACCTAATTCATAAATATTAGTATTTTGCATTAGAAAATTGTAATAGTTTCTCAACATTCTTAAGCTTTTTTGTAACTCATTTGCTAAAAATATTTTAAAAAGTATATTTTTTTTTTACAAACATATCCTAGCAGTACCCATATCCAATTTTTTTAGGTTTTTTCGTATCACCGTATCCATATCGTATCCCGTCCGTATTTGTGCTTCAAAAGGTTTGCCAGTTCATTGCCATACTTCACCTAATTTTCTTTCTCGTTTGCTCTTCCTTCTATTTCCTTGAAGATTGAAAAATATAACAGTAATTCAGCTTAGGTAGGCATCTCTCTCAGGATCCCACACTTATGAGATTTTGTCGAAATGACATATCTTTATTGTATTATTTAGAAAGTAAGGATTACTTTAAATATCATTAATTAAATCAGCAAGTGAACTTGTATACAATATTTTGACATTGAACACTAATGCAAATGGGTAAGACACTAGGAAAACTTGTGGAATGTTATTATAAAATAAACATGTTAGACTTGATATTGGAATGAAATATTTGCAAGGCCTATTGAAAATTTAAGATGTAAAGTAGTTGCCAACTTAAATTAAGACCTAATTCATAAATATTAGTATCTTGCATTAGAAAATTGTAATAGTTTCTCAACATTCTTAAGCTTTTTTGTAACTCATTTGCTAAAAATATTTTAAAAAGTTTTTTTTTTTTTTACAAACATATCCTAGTCGTACCCATATCCTATTTTTTTAGGTTTTTTCGTATCACCGTATCCATATCGTATCCCGTCCGTATTTGTGCTTCAAAAGGCTTGCCAGTTCATTGCCATACTTGACCTAATTTTCTTTCTCGTTTGCTCTTCCTTCTATTTCCTTGAAGATTGAAAAATATAACAGTAATTCAGCGTAGGTAGGCATCTCTCTCAGGATCCCACACTTATGAGATCAGCAAGGATGGAGAAAACATTTTTGTGTTTGAATTTTCTAAATCCTGTACGTAATTTTAGATTTAATTTAAATTATGGGGGTTTTGGGCTATTTTTTGGCTAAAATTCACAAGAAGACAAAATAGGTTAAAATAGCAAATAAGACAAAATGTTACATCAAACCCATAATCATTTTACTTTTTCTCTTACAAATATCACATCAAACTACAAAAAAATCCAATCATCTTCCCAAACACAAAAAATTTTAGCCTATTAAAATAGTCAAAAACTAAAATAGCTCACTAAAATAGCCAACTTCCTAAACGAGGCCTATATATACGTATGGCTTGAAATGTCTGTATGTCTAATTGGTCTTGAATGTGTGTAATTGGTCTTGAATGTGTGAGCAAAATGGGGAAGCAACTAATCACCTTCTTAATTCATTGTATGGTGGCTAGCTAACTTTGGGTTATGATTCTTGGTATATTTGGGTTTTGTGTGTGTCTCCTAGGGTGTTTCATAACTTATTCATTCTTGGAAGGGGTTTAGAGTGGGGAAAGTTTTTCAAAACTTATCCATTCTATGATTGATGTGGGTTATTTAGGGAGAGCACAATTGGAAGACTTTATATGGAAGAGAAGAACTACTTTTTAAATTGAACAATAGAAATTTATACCTTTTGTATGGTTGGTTTTTGGGTGGTGTTGATCCATTTTGAACCATTTTTTGGATTTCATAGTCTTTTGAGTAAATAGTTAATGTATAAATACGTGTGTTGTTCTTATTTCTTATAGTGCTTTTCTTCTTGTGTATATGGGTGACACTCCCTTGGTGCCTTCTTTCTAATATAATTTTACTCATCAAAAAATAATAACAATAATTATTAAAACTGTACCATGTAGGCATTACATACACCAAGACATAGTGCCAATGAGAACCTATGTAACTTAGATCCTGCACAGCAAGCATACATTCCATGCATATCCTTTGCGTAAGCTTGTCCAAGAGATTGGTGTGAGCAGGGTGAGGGCTGTGAGGCCTCTCTTTTAGAAGGGACATGGGATTAAAGTTTCACTAAGCATAGGACATTTTTGCATTTCTGTAACTGCTTAAAAAGCAGCTTACTTTTTCATATTGTGCTGATTTATTTGTGAACAATTGGAGTATAATAGTAGAACTAGAGCCGTAATAGGAAATTAGGAATATATCATGCCGTTCACAAGGCTGGGATGGCCAGCTTGATCCAAGCAGAAGGTGCCCTTAAAAGAACTAGAATAGGGGTGAAGGAGGCTACCTAAACTCTCGTTGAAATTTTAGCTTGATGATGAATTTTTATATGATCTTGTGAGGACATATATGGCGTGGCGTAGTATAAAATCCACTTATCCTGATCCCTCCTAAACCTGTTTCAGGTTACATTCGTATTTCCTTTCACTGGTTTTACCTATCCCATCCTGGCATCCTGTTTTTGGGTCAAATGCTATCCCTAATGATAGAATAGGCCTTTTTCATGCTCCATTCATACCTCATGGTCGTTATTTTGCTTATGAGTACTTGAAATTAGAAAATATATATAATATCTCCTTTATGAAATTGTATCACACCAATCTCACGTCTGACATTCTAGGTGTTTGGTTTGCATTATCCTTGTTCCTTTGTCATGTGTTTTCCTGGAAAAATGATTTATTTATATATTATGCTGGTGTTTCAGACTGATATTTGTTGCTAGACTTATGGGTTTTGGAATTTTTAGTTTTCTCTTCTAATTGCATGGTTTGGCCTTTAATCACAATGCAAATTGACAGCTTTGGAAGAAAGTAAAGGCGTAGGATATCATTCTATCATACCTGATGCTTTAGGAGCAGAATCGCATCCCTTAACCAAGGCATTTGGAGAAAAAGTTGGTGATTATGTAGTGCAATATTTTGAAGCTATGGAGAAGGTGACTGATGCCCTACTTGCCAACCTGGTGTTCTTGCATGCAGTTGACCTGGAATATTGCTCTCCATTTGTTTGCATGAGGATAATGTTCCTGTTTGTATTTTCATACAGGTTAAACTAAAGCAAGGATTGAAGATTGCAATGAGTATTTCGGGTGAGGGAAATGCATATCTGCAAGTAAGCCAGCAACATTTTTCTACAGTTTGTTTTGGGTGTTTGTTTAGTTTGACAATTTGTGAAGTTTGTATCTGTCACCCCTTCGAAGATGAACCATATTCATAATTTGCTATACAGGAAAGCAAATTCTGGAAGCTTTACAAGGAGGACCAACTTTCTTGTTCAGTAGTTATGAAGACTTCAGCTGGACTAGTATATCTTCTTGCATGTCTGTTAGAACCTTTTATGCCATCCTTTTCCATTGAGGTATTCACTGCCTGTGGCTCCATATAACATTTTTGGAATTTTTGGGACATGTTATTTTCATCAATGCCTCTATGCTTTTGCCTCGAATGCCAATACAGGTATTTAAGCAGCTCAATTTGCCTCCTGAAATGCAAGTTTTGCTTTCTGATGAAAATGGAGATATTGAAAGGGCAAAGAGACCCTGGGAGTTTCTACCTGCTGGTCACAAAATTGGAATACCAGAGCCATTGTTTAAGGAACTGGTATATATGTTGTTATTTGCGTCATATGTTGTGTATTAGCTATTGTTTCATGGATTTGGTTGATAACATACTTATTTGGTGTGAATTTGGGGTGTGCAGAAAGATGAAGAAGTGGAGTTCTTTAGGCAGAAGTTTGCCGGAAGTCAAGCTGATAGGATTCTGAAGGCAGAAGCTGAAGCCAAGGAGCTCGCTGAGCAATTAAAGAAAACGCAAGTTTCAGGTTACATTCCTCCCGTTTCTATTCAATCAATTGTCAGTTCTTGTGAGTTGTGAATGCCAAACCCGACAGTTTTTTCTTCTTGAAGCTTATGCATCCCATACATCTAATGTAGTTTTTGGAACTTCTACGTCATTCTTTGATGTATATGCTTGTGTTCCAAGAAGTGCATTCACTTCTAAGAAGGCAGTGTGTTTGTGTAGAACATTATAACACCTATCAGACACTCCGAACGTGTGTCGGACACTCATCGAAATGTGCCCTTTCAGTTTTAAATTTTTTTAGACTTAGATGCACTTTGGACACTTGGTGGATACATGCATCCATCGCTTAGACACAAGTGAAATACAATAATGTAGATTTATATCTTTTAATCCGTTATTCTTCAAATTTTAGGAATTTGTGTTATATTCTATTTTTTTTTTTAATTATCTTTGAATGAAATATTCATATATATGACATATAATAAATATACAAAAAATTTGCATGGGACCCCCATATGTTGTGTTGTGCATTTTTTGAAGAAGCATGAATGCTTCTAAGAAGGAGCACTTTGTCTCCGACGCCAACATGACACAACAGCCATCGGATACTTCCCAACCGTTCGACACTCATGAAACATATTGTAAGTTTGAATAAAATAACTCGGAATAAAACAAAAACAATAACAATGCAAATTTGTACCCATTCTCTTCCTTTTGACTTTAAAAATTATTTTCTTTGACTTAAATATTCATATATATGAAATATAATAATTATTTATCTTTCTATCTCCCCAATTTCTTTTGTTTTTGACTTCGTCCTCCCCCCTTGATTCTTCAAGCTACGGTTGACTTGGTTAACGTTTCTTTTCTCTAGCTTGTCTAGTTTAGCGGTCCAATGGAAATTTTTTGTATGAAGTTGGAAGTGACTAGAATGTATGTTGTGCATGTTTAGTAAGCAATAGCTCATGCAAATGCTGTTGAAATTGAAGTTCAGGGGTGTCTTCGAATTTCAACCAAGAGCTTGGCCGGGTGAGCCTGGGAAGGGAAGGCCTGCCGGCTCGTATGCCCATGGTGACATATAATAAGTATATAAAATCATATATTTTGCACGTACCTCACGTGTCATGTCTCACATATTTTGGAAATTTGTGTCTTTGTGTCCATGTCCATTTCTACGTCTGTGCATCTTAGGTTTTCTAAAATGTGGATCTAACAAATAATTATAAAAATGTGTAAGAATATATTCTTACACTAGTATAAGTGATCTCTCCCCATATATTATGTGTATTGTTTAGTTCATTGGTGTTTCTTATACATGATACATTTTTTCCTTCTTGGTGCATTACTGGTCTTTTGTATTTAAGAGCAAACTGATTCATTTGGATTTTAGAGACATTTTGATTTTTTTACTCGTTGAATGATAATCTGTTCATATTTTGTTATTAGTCTCAGTTCTTATTTGATGCTTGATGCGACTCTTTACTATGAGATGATGCCCGGGTTTTTCTAGCCAGTTCTGGCCCTGTTAGCTTGACTCGGTTAAGGAGGAATTTCCAATTTTAATTTTTGTTACAAAATTTTGTCTGTGTTGGTTCTGTGCATGTATAATTTAAATAGGTACATATAAAACGCATGCCTACTGTTGTGAAACATGAGAATGGTCCATAAATTGTTGCTTACTTGACTTTGTCATTGTTTTGATAGACGGAAGGGGTAAGAAACAACAGCCAATGAAATCTGCTGCTGCAGCCAAACCTAAGACAAGTGCTGAAGCAGAAGTTTCTATAAGTAGACTTGATATCCGTGTTGGTCTTATTACGAAAGCTCAGAAACATCCTGATGCTGACTCTTTATATGTGGAAGAGATTGATGTTGGTGAAGGACAAGCACGAACTGTCGTTAGTGGACTTGTCAAGTATATTCCGCTCGAAGACATGCAGGTTATCTGTCCTCTGTTTTTCCAGATTCCTAATTACCATTTTTTTCCCCTAGTTACTTAGTGCCTGTTGTTTTGCTAGTTTGTTCATGATGATGCTCTTTTTCTCAGAATCGGAAGGTCTGTGTTCTTTGTAATTTAAAGCCAGCAACTATGAGGGGGATAAAATCACAAGCAATGGTTCTTGCAGCTTCCAACAGCGATCACACCAAAGTAAGTAACCCAGTTATACTGTTGTTACCTTCCCTAGACACCAAATAGAGGGGGAAAAGAGAGAAGAAATGAAAAGGATGAAAGAAAGCAGACTGATTTTTTTCCTCTCATCTGCTCTGGGTTTAATTTTTACAATGTTTAAGTGTTCCGTCGTAAAAAAATGTAATTTCAAAGCTTTCCTTAAAACTTGGCTATCAATCCTCTCGCCTTCTGTACATTGAAAACTGATTTTTTTATTTTTTGTAAGGCAATTTATTAGGAGCATCAAAGGGGGTACTTGCCTATGTACAAAAGGTTATACTGTGCAAACAAGAAGACAAAAGAGATCTAAAACTATTACAAGTGAAGCGAATTCACGAAATCTGTATGGTTCATGTATTTGGCCTCAAACCAAGTGACACTCAATGGCTTGCGAACATCCTGTATTCAAATCGTAACAATTTGATTACATTTTGACATCCTAATGGAATATTCGAATAATTGGTTACGGTCACATATCCACCTTTCATAAATAGGTGTTCTTCCCTTACATCACAATACATTCATACATCACTTTTGTAAGAGTTCTCCCTTGAGCGTTGGCATACTAGACACTGGCACTTTACTCTCTCTCTCTCTCTCTCTCTTTGTGTGCGCGCGTTGGACTGCCCTATCTCTGACTCAGTCATCCTCGTTGTCTCTGGTCATCTCTGGTGAGACCCTGACCCCTTAGGCCAGACCATTCTACACCCTGGTTAATGTGGATCTGCTGCGTCCTGGTTAAATTGTTAATTGCAAGGATCTTCGCAGCTTTAATTTAAAAATGGACATATATATATGTTCCCATTTTTAAATTGAAAGTAGACATGTATACCCATGCATCCATAAAGCAGACTGAAAAGGGTAGGCAACAATCCATCTCTTGATCCTGCAAATTCCTCCTCAATTCAACATCCCATGTCTTTATCCACACCTCTAACATAATCTGTTACTGAGACTTCTTTGTCAACAAGGAGAAGAAAAATAGCAGGAAATGGCTATCTCAAGAACCACTTCAACACACCACTTGATTAGCTTGTATAAGCCTTTGTTAGTGTTGCACAACGCAACTATGGTTCTGGTGCATGTATAACAGTGGACCTGGCACTAGGTAGAAACCTGTTATCTAATGTATCATAGTAAATTAAAAATATTACCCTGGTAGAAAAGGGCGGGGCCCTTGTACTGCAGCCAGTTCTGAACCTTTTTTGGGATTTTGCTTGTTTAGTTCCAAACCTGCCCGTACCCTGATTAATTGTTTCCCAAACCTGTCCCATTAGGGGGGTTTGCTTGAGTAATCAGGTTTGATTGCCATCACTAAATTTTGATTAGCTTAGACATCATGCTGATTCATGCTTTGAGCTACTTCTCAGGGTGTCAAAGCCTTTCATTAGCCCTTGAGTGTGGGGGGTTCTCTTCCACTGAATGAGCAGAGCGAAAAGAGAGTACGAAAGAAATGAATGCATTTCAAACATGGATAGGATAGGATAGGAATATTTTTTTAATCCCCACTTCAGCCCCATATCGTTTACAACAAACAAATGTTGGTGTTTATGAGTGCATTTGATCATGTTTTGATGTTAAATTAAGTTTTTTCCTTTGTTTTTGTTTTTAGTCTCAAAGTGCAACTATTAGTTATTGTTTGATTTTTAGGATTTATTTGGGGTCAACATTTTAGTTCCTGCCTGTCATAGAACTGAGATTTGGGCTGTTAATGTTTTTTATTTGACTTTTTTAAAAGCTCTCATGTGTGGTTTGAGAATATGAATAGATGTTTAGTGAAGAGATCACTGGGAAATGTAAATCCTGATTGATGCTGATGTGATTTCAGGTTGAATTGGTTGAGCCCCCCCATTCTGCTGCTGTTGGAGAGAGAGTAACATTTCCAGGGTTCAAAGGTGATCCGGATGATGTTTTAAACCCTAAGAAGAAGGTTTGGGAAACACTTCAAGTGGATCTACACACAGACAGTCAACTGGTTGCTTGCTACAAAGACCTGCCATTCACCACTTCAGCAGGCATTTGCAAGGTTTCATCCATATCTGATGGGTCAATAAGGTAGACAATAATACCACTTACCTACACAAATTTTGGAGTTCATGAAACCCAGAAAGAAAGAAAAAAATAAACAAGATTTTGAAGAAAAAAGAAGAGCAAACAAGATTTTGCCTTTCTTTTTCTTTTTCTTTTTCTTTTTTTTTCCGTGTCGTCATTTTATCTTTGTGTTTCTATTTATATCTAATTGTAGAAAGAAACCATTTTCACACTATGGATTCTGTAATAGAAGCGTACTAAATGCAGATTGTACTGATTGATTGTGAACTATTCCTGCCCTTGGATGGCGCATAATGGATTTAGCATTATATTTGGGATGCAAATTTTGTGTTAAGAGTAAAGATATTGACGACTCGTCAATTATGTGTTAAAAGTGAACAAGTGCACAGAGAATTAAACGCAAAATGGGACATCTGTCTTACATTTGAGACTTACCACTAGTTCATACTGATAGACATGTGATATAAAGATATTATTTGATTTTTTTATTTTATTTTTTTGGATAATAATTGGGAGAGGCAGTGAGAAGATCAGAATAATGAGAAATGGGGTGTCACGTATTTATTTATTTATTTTTCAAAATTATGAGAATTTAAGAATGAATATTTGGAGACTTTGACATAACTACATTTGTTTAAATGTATTTTAGCATTACACTCGTGTTATGTACAGTTTTACATAACAAACTACAATTTTATTTTAAAAATAAAAGATATTTTTATAGTAACAATAAAATTGTTTCCAGTCAAATAAACTTAGCTCAACTACACTTAATTTTTATTTTTGCTTTTTTATTATTAATGGTGCATCCTAAATATTAAATAACAAAAATATGTGTTATAACATAATTGGTAAATATACAAAAGCAAAATACAAGATAAATTACAAAAATTATCTTACGGTAAGATATGAATAATTTCGTCCTTATATTATATAATAGTATAGATAGGTAGATTATATGGAGTAAATGAAAGGGATAAACAAGCAGTCGTAACCTTCAGTTTCTATGAATGCTGCAATGTCATATTGATTAATAAAAAAACAATTCTTAAAAAGAGTAAGTTGGTGATAATTTCAATCTAAGGACAGTATAAGGTATTATGTCCAGTGTATATTTTTTGTTGGTGAAAGATTCACCTTTTGTAAAATAGTTTGATGAGAAATTTTTTTTGTTTGTTTTAAAGGACAATTTATTTTCAATTTTACCTCTTAATTTATCTGTTGACTTTTCATTGACTATCTTTTTAAATTTATATCTATCTATTCAATTTTTTTCTATCTATTTAAATTTGTATCTATCTGTTCAAAAAAAAAATTATCCGTTCAAATTTATATATATCTGTTCAAAATTTATTCTCTATTTGTTCATTTTTTCCCTCCTTATTTGTTCAAATTTTATTATCTGTTCAGTTTTTTCATTTATTTGTTTAAATCTATCTATCTGTTCAATTTTTTCTTTGTTCAAAAAATTTATCTGTTCAATTTTTTTCTATCTGTTCAATTTTTTATCTTTTTCTATTCAAATTCTCATATATACACAGATAAAGAGGGAGATGTATTATAGATCTGTGAATTTGATATTATTACAAGAATGCTGCTATTAGCACTTATTTTTTTTCTTTGGACTCCCTATTTTTTTTAATTCCAATTTTGTCCAAACATAAAGTTACATTTTTAACCTCTCTCCCTAACATTCTAATCCTAATTTCCCAAACTCTAACCCTAATTTCTCAAACCCTAACTCACCAACCTTTTCACCACCATCTCTACCGGCGACCACCACTGCCACTGCCGTCGGTGACCCCTCCTTGTATCTCCAGCGAGGTCTTTGAGTTGACGGGGCGTTCGTGATCTGCGAACCAGAAAAGCTCTGAAGTGGGTTTGGATGGTAAAGGCAGTAACATCGCAGAGAGAATTAGAAGCAAAATTAGCAGAGTATTGGCGGCGGAGAGAGGATTTGATGACGGCAATGCGGCGGAGAAGAGAGGACACAATGGGTTGGATCTGCGTCTGGGTCTGTTGGTAGAGTTGAAACTCTTCTTGGTATTTGCATTGATGGGTCGGCAGTGGTGGTTGGTGGAGAAAAGCTTTGTGAAGAAGGTGGAGATAAGGAGAGTGGAATTGGGACTGCGAAAGAGGGTGGTGGTGGTGGTGGTGGTGGAGGAAGAGGTGTACAACAGGTAGAATAGTGGCAGTAACAATAGGTGGTGGCAACTGGTGGTGGGTGGTGGCAATGAGAGGCCATTGGAGGGGGAATCTTGGAAGAACAGTGGAGGGGTTTTTGAGAAGGGTTACGTTTTAGGGCTTTGATTCGAGTTGTGGGTTGCCGGAGTTAAGGTAGTGGTGCCTGAGGTGGTGGTTGGGAATGGGGCTAGGGTTTAGGTTTGGATTTGAGGATAGGGATATAGTTGGTATTGAGGTGGGAGTTCAAAGAGAAAATAGTAGGGGCTCATTTTGTTGGGTGGGGGTCCAAAGAATTTGGTGGTCCGAAGTAAAGATGTAGATGCTAATAGCAACACTTTATTACAAATCTATTTCATCATTAGCAATATTTATCATCATCATCAACAACAACAACAATAACAACAAAAAGTTTAAAAAAAAAAAGCAAAAAAAAGTGAGAACTCAACAATAACAAAATTTTTGTTCAGATTCGATGAAGAATAATGCTTTGGACCCCCTTTTGGGGGTCACCCCCTCACCCCCTTTGCCACGTGACGGGTGGTGATTGGAGGAGCAGGAAAAAAAAGAAAAAGAAAAAGAAAATGTAACCAATGAGAGAGAGAGGGGGTCAAAGGGGGTGGGAGGAAAAGGGGGGATGAATCATTGTTGTTCGATGAATATGAAGAGAATCACAATAAATGGGGGACTCGGGGGACCAAAAGCGATTTGCTAGGCCAATTCCATGTCCCTAGCGAGTTCCTTATCCTCGAAATGGCAGTTGGCATGTTTGCAATCATCGATTCACAATTTTCCCTCAAATTACAAAGTTCAAACAGTGGATACAAACACATGCACACATACATATATATCTTATTTAGAGAGATGAGCTTTGCTAGAGAGCTCTAATTAGAGCTGCTCAAAAGCAGCTCTAATGAGCTGTCACCATTTAAAAAAAAAAAAAAAAAAAAATTAAAAAAAAAAAAAAAAAAAGCAAAAAAAAGTGAGAACTCAACAATAACAAAATTTTTGTTCAGATTCGATGAATATGAAGAGAATCACAATATAAATGGGGGACTCGGGGGACCAAAAGCGATTTGCTAGGCCAATTCCATGTCCCTAGCGAGTTCCTTATCCTCGAAATGGCAGTTGGCATGTTTGCAATCATCGATTCACAATTTTCTCTCAAATTACAATGTTCAAACAGTGGATACAAACACATGCACACATACATATATATCTTATTTAGAGAGATATATGAACAAATATACTTTTCAAGTTGGAAGGACGAAACAGATTGATGACAAATTGGGCAAATTGACTGATCCATACACTAAACGCCTTACTCTCGCTCCGGCGAGCAAGATTTGAAGGTTCATGGTCGTCGGCGCAATGAGGTGGTCGAGAGGTTCGATCGCGATCTGAACTGAGAGAGAGAGAGAGAGAAAGAGAGAGAGATTCGCTTAGATTTGAAGTTGTCCACTACGAGAGATAACGATAACGACCAGAGATCATCGCTGGAACTGGCGGCTCAAAGCGACGAACTTTGGTTCAACGACGACGGTGCTACGGAGCTCTGGTTCAACAACAAGGGTAGATAAGCATTGACGGAGAAGGGGGTGGCGGAAAGGCCAGTGGCGATGAGGGCAAATAAGCATTGACGGAGAAGGGCGTGGCGGAAAGGCTAGTGGCGGTGGTAGATCTGGAACTAGATCTAACTAGATCTACTGCGGCGGCGGCGATGAAGTAACGGATCTCACTAGAGCTGTGCAAAATATGGCCTTTGCTAAAATCATACTAATTGGCATCAATTAGCATTGCTTTATCTGTTAACTGCGATTTAAACTTTAAAATTTATAATCCGCCTTCGAAACCATTCCGTTCCGTTATAATCAATACATATATATTTTTTAACCTACAACAAAATATCAAAATAAAAATAAATGTAAAAGAGATTTAATATGTGAATTTTTTTACAAATTAGTAGTTCTATGTATGAAAAATATTATGTAAAATTAGTTTGTATTATATATATGAAAGGTATTATGCAAATTATTGTTTATATATTATACGAAGGCTTGATAATTAGTTACAATATTCTTCAATCCGTCAATCTGTCCAAAACTGCTCAAACCGTAATTTGTCAATCTGCTAATCCGCCATTCGGTTTATAATTTTACTTTTAAACCGTCCAAACCGCACCGTGCGCACCCCTAGATCTTACGATCTCTGGCGAAGTCGATGCAACCGCCGCTGCTCTGCTAATGTGGATCTATGATATGTATGTATAGATGATCGTGACGGTGGGACGGTGGTGTTAGGGGAAGGACGATGGTGGTGGAGATGAAAAGAGAGAAAGAGGGTTAGGGTTTGGAGATTTGAGAAAGGGTAGCGCACAAAAGGTTGGAGCTTAGAGATCTTCTTAGTATTTACGACGTTCAAAGTGACAGTAGCCATTGAAGAGTGATACAGAGCTCAGATCTACAGAGAGAGAGAGAGAGAGAGAGAGAGTGTGTGTGTGTGTGTGTGTGTCACACCTCAAATCCGAGCATGACCGGTTGTGGTCCACAGGGACTTAGTCGAAGGAATACGTAATCCTAAACATGAATCGAAAATCACAAAGAATAAATGTGATAATAGCTCATAAATAAATAAATCGAAACCCAATCCACTGACAAGCCACAAGTATAAATGGTAAAACTAGCCATAACCAACTTCTAAAAATATATACTAAATGGAACACAAACCGCCCATAAAATAAAATAATTCTAAATAAAATCCAACCATGTATGCACAAAACCGACATAACAAGCTAAAACAAAATAATAAATGTCCTAGAGGTCCATGCAATTGAGTCTCCATTACGCCATAAGTCCACTCTAAGTCCTTCTAACACTTGGAAATGCTAAACAACTAAGTCAGCTGATAGCTCAGTGAGAAGCAACATGGATAGTAAATATAGATTTCAAAACATGGTTCAATTCCAAAATAAGATATATATCACAAAAACTAGATTGGTATATACTTTTGATAAAGATAATCTGTTTCAAAAAGAAGATTCTACAGTTAAAATACTCATGTTTCTCAAGAACATGATAAATGACATTTTCCACTTAAAACATATTACAACATGAACACCAATAATTTTCTGAGTACCAAGAAT